CAGTCAAACCAGCACATTCAACCTTGACCCAGAATTTTGTTGTGCTGTAGCACTGTCGTCCCATTGTTCATTGATTTGCTCGAGCGGGCACCAGTGACGTCTCTGTTGTGAAACTTATTGTAACTGTTTTTGGCATATTGAATATGGCACGGGGAGCTTGCCAGGCTCTGCCGTCCGGGCAGGATACTCTTGTTAGCTTGCCATGCTCTCCGAGAGGGGTGGAGGAATCAAACCCAGGTGGGCTGCGTGCAAGGCAAATACCCTAGCTGCTGTGCTATCACTCTAGCCTTTGATGTGTAGTACTTAGGTCAATTATCATCATTTATTAAAATATTAAGTAAAATATTTAAAAGTAAATAAGTCAAACAACTTACTAATTATTTGTTACAAATGACAAAAGACTAAGCTTTAAAGATGTTGATTAATATTTTTTATTTATTGTTAATTATTATTGAGTGGTTTTATTTTTTTTTTAGGTCACATCTGGCTGTGTTCAAGGTTATTGCTAGATCTGCACTCAGGGATCACTCCTGTGGGTGTTCAGAAGATATACATGGTACCTAGAAATGAATCTTGATCAGAAGTAGCACTGTAGCATTGTAGCACTGTCCTCCAGTTGTTCATCGATTTGCTCGAGCGGGAGTATATAAGGAAAATGCCTAATTCTCTGTACTATCTCTCTAGCCAAAATTTAGTGGCCTAGTGCACCTTTTAAAGGTATATTATTTCTGAAATATATGAGTATTTCAGGAATAAAGTTGACTTGAAGCATTATAAATATAATATGGAAATACAGAACTGACAAATATATTTTTATCTTACGTCGGTATTATTAAATCTGGAACCAAGGGGTATGGTGCTAACAGCAGGTCAATCTGTACCTGTGATGCAATCGCATCATCAGTCTGATGGCGCCTTCAGACTTCCAGATATCCCCAAATTGCTGCTGTGCCTTTGGCCAGACACCAAAAGCTTGGGGCGAAGTTTACCAAGAAAGTAAACAGCCAGAAGTTAGGTATGTGGAAGACACACCCACAAACCACCTCTGGCTCAGCTATATAATTGGAGACAAGGCCTCTCTGTTTCCTGATGGAACTGCTTAACGACCATGATCCCAGAGACTCAGAAAATATCAGAACCCAGAAGCTTTTTGCAGAGATGCATCCGGTCCCCACAATGGGTTACTGGCACCAGACCACCACAGGTGGGGAAAGGGTTTTGTCCCTCCGCCTGCTTCCCCTTGACGGCTCAGTGGCTGCCATCTACCAGGGGACATTGGACAGTAACGTTTGGGCCCACAGTAAGGAGACATGTGGGGCCTCACAGGATTGGGGTGGAGCTCGCCCTTTCTTCCCTGCCCCAACAAAACCCCGAGTTGCTGCCCACGAATGGCCTCTCTGGCTCCTGATCAAGTTGTTTAATGGTCACGATCTCAGAGACACAGAAACAAATCTCGGAACCCAGTGGCTTTTGGCAGAAATGCGTCTGGATCCCGCAATACATTACTGTCTCTGGACTACCCCGGGTGGGAATAGGTTTCATGCCTTGGACTGTTCCCCCTGTCGCCTTGGTGGCCGCAATCCTCCAGAGGCCATTGGACAGAGGTTTGGGCCCACAGTGACAAGATATGCAGGGCCCCACGGGATGGGGGTGGAGCTAGCCCTTTCCTCTCCACCCCAATGAGATCCCAAGTTGCCGCCCACGAATGGCCTCTCTGGCTCCTGATCAAGCTGCTTAATGTCCATGATCCCAGAGACTCAGAAACAAATCTCAGAAGCCAGCAGCTTTTGGCAGAAATGCATCCAGACCTGCATAGGTTACTGGCGCCAGGCCACTCCGTTGCGGAGAGCGGGGGGGACGGGTGCTGTCCCTCCACCTGTTTCCCCTTGGCGGTTCAGTGACCATATCCTCCAGAGGTCATTGGACAGTCAGGATTGGCCTGCAGTGATGAGACACACAGGGCCTCACGGGATGGGGGTGGAGCTGGTACTTTCCTCCCCGCCTCAATGAGATCTCGAGTCGCCACCCACAAATGGCCTCTCTGGCTCCTGATCAAGTTGCTTACCGGCCATGATCCCAGAGACTCAGGAAGAAATCTCGGAACCCAGCAGGTTTTGGCAGAAATCTCTCCATATTTAATTATTAAAATTTTAGAATTCCAAAATCGCGTGGCCACTACTGCAGCTGTGCAACATCATATGTTATTCATAACCAGCAACAGAAAACAATCTGTCTACTGTTGCCTTTTCAGCAGATCTGAGTGTTGGGGTAAAATCCCAAATAATTATGATGGGTCTGGTGTCAAAATATTGAATGTAATCAAAGTAGAGAGAGAGAGAGTAATGTGGAAATCATCTGTCCCACAGGTAGGAGGAGGGTGTGGGATGGAGGGTATATTGGGGTTTTTGGTAGTGTAAAATGGGCACTGGTGAAGGGACGGGTGTTTCATTGTATTACCTGGATTCAAACCCGAAAGTTTTGAAACTGCTCTCATGGTGATTCAATAAACAAAATTATAAAAAGGGAAAAAATTAAAATAAATCTTGAACAAATTTAGTAGTGTACTTGATGATCAATCCCTGACTCCTGACATATAGAACAGTATAATCATGTACAGTTACAATTCAAAATATATTAATTGAATTCCCAAAGAAAGTAAATGATGCACTTAAGTGACAGTAAATCAAAGCAAATTATTTTTAAAGATACTTTTATATGTGTAGAAAACAAAATCGATTGTATAACAACCTAGATAGTAGTACAAAGCTGCTGTAACTCTTTAGATCTAAAGAGAACTAGAATAAGTAGCAGAACCAGACAAGAATGAGAAACCCTTCTTGAGAAACTTGAGAAAATTAGAAGTCTTAATTTGAGGGTCAAATCCAACCAAGAAAACTTAAGGAGAGGGTCTTCCCTAAAGAGAAATAAATATCCACAATACCCTGACTTAAATCTGCCTCTCTCCAAGTCCTCATTAAATAAATCCAATCAGAAGCCAGAGAGCAAGAGAAGTCATACAGAACAAAGCAAGGCAGAGAGAGTAGAGTAGGTGTAATTTATAGAAAAGAGGCTTTGAAATTCTAACTTTGTTTTCATATATTTTCCTTCTTGGCTCTTCTTCAGGTTTCATCATGATGTTCTAAAATATAATTTCAAATCAATTAGACTTGGGTGTTTAGGCAGATTAGATTCAGATAGATGATGAACATTTCACTCTTTAGTAAGTATAAATGTGTATTTTGTGCATGTAAGATATCAGGAATGAGTTTTGGGAGAGAGGCAAGGGAAATAGATTCATCAGAAAAATTTCTCAGAAGGCTTTACTACAACAGATATGGAGATAAAAAAGGCATAATTAGTTCACCTGGGAACAATTTTAAATACTTTAAAAATCATTTGGCATTGCTATTCCCTACAAGGAAAACTAGATTAAAGAAACCAGTAATTAAAATAGAGAGCTTCAGATGTACTTAATGGAGATGTTCTTTACTGAAATATTAGGAATGATATTGACTGGAAGCACTAGTGTAATTTAAGTAATAAGAACTAAGAAGTATGGAACTCACTATCATAGTATATTTATGGATAGTTTGGGGATGTAAATCATAACTTTATAGGAATATTTCAAAGGGAATGGATACTTTATTAGGCAAAGTTCAATATATAACTATGAGTCAATTGAAAGTTAATAGGAACTTTGTTAAAGGTCATACATATAAATGGCTACTATAGTTTTAATGAATATTTTTATGTCACCTTTAAATTAGTTAAATTTGGAAAGAATTATGATGTAATGTATAAGTTTCCTTTCTGGAACATTAAAGCAGAATTTACTTTTAAGTCTTCTGTATTAGTTTTAGTTCTCTGATAGGAATTTTAAGATATTTAAGATATTTGGAGTCTTTTAAACTATTAAACATTGACTGCATGTTTGAATTTACTCCTTGAATATGGTGCTACATTAATAATAGAGCCAAAAGAGAAGAAAATTTACAATATATTACTATTTTGAACCTAAACTTTATCAATTATTACTGTAGTAAAAGTGGAGAACTCATTATTGAATGATGAATTTATGGTTTTTTTTTCTTTGAATCTATGGATTTTATTCTGAAGAAAAAGAAATACTCAATTTTTAAAATATTATTATTCTCACTTTTACTTTCAAATTTTGTCTCTGTAAGAATGGAACCCCATATGTCTGGCTTAATAGCAGGAAAATTAATAAAGTACAGTGATATCCGGACATTTTCATTATAGACTGTATGAAAGCTAGCTTTTCTAAACTGAAAGCACAAAATAAAAAGTTTTACTAATGGGGATTTTCACAGTTTCAGAAAGAGAATTTCCAGATTACAGTGTTAGACAAGAAGAAGTTGGTACAGAATCTTGAACCTGTGACAGCAAGCATAGGCTGAGTCATGACCCAGAAATAGTTACTAGGGATGAGTAGTGGGAAAATAAGAGGAGTCAAGAAAACATGGAACGTGGAGAATCCAATTAACTTAGGGCATGAAACATACCTGTACCTATCTGTCTTGGATCACAATAGGTAGCCAGGTAGATTCTCAGAGTGCATTTTTTTTTATTAGTGAATCACCGTGAGGTACAGTTACAGATTTACATATTTGCCTCAGACTGCATTTTTGATGGGATGGAACAATAGTTAGCACAGTGGGTAGGGCATTTATCTTGCACGCACCTGACCCAGATTTGATTCCTCTGTCCCTCTTGGGGAGCCCGGAAAGTTACCAAAAGTATCCCGCCCGCATGGCAGAGCCTGGCAAGCACCCCGTGGCATATTTGATATGCCAAAAATAGTTACAATAAGTCTCACAATGGAGACATTACTGGTGCCTACTCAAGAAAATCGATGAACAACAGAATGACAGTGCTACAGTGCATTTTTGATAGGTCTTCTGAACCCCAGAAAGCATTCTTCTTACTGAAACAAGATGCTCTGAAGAATTATGAGAGTGTAAAAATTTTCAACGTTTTCCTTAATAATCATCCACCAGGATCATGTCTGCTGCCTCTTTGCAAACATCTGTGCCAGCCTGGCCCATGGCAATTCCAATGTCTGCAGCCTTCAGAGCAACTGCGTCATTGACTCCATCTCCTGTCATGGCTACAACGCACCCATTCTTCTGGAGAGACTTAATGATTTTCATCTTGTGTCTCAGACTTGCTCTGTAAAATACTGCAACCTTTGGTACTATTTGTGAAAGCTGTTGCACATCCATTGCATCCAGTTCTTCTCTGGAAACAGACTGCGAAGTTTTGGAATACAATCCCAGATGACTAGCAATGGCTGCAGTTTCTTGGGAGTCACCAGTGATCTTCTGTATGGACACTCCTGAGGCAATGAGCATTGCAACAGCTTCTTTCACACCAGTTCTGGAAGGATCTATCATTCCCACCAGGCCAAGGAACATCAGCTGTCCCAGTTCAGGACCAGAAGCCAAAGCAAGAACTCTAAGCCCTGTGGAGCCCATCCGTGCCTTCTCTTGCTGGTAAAGATTTCTCTGCATCTGAGTGAGTGGTACGGTCTGCCCTTTACTGTGGTATGCAGTACCATACTTAATCACCTGTTCGTAAGCACCTTTCATCTGATCTCTGATCTCATCAAATCTCTGATCTGTCCTGCTGTGTTCGATGTACACACTTAACAGCCATCCACTTTTGTTCCGAGCTAAAAGGATATTCTGCTTTTCTGATATAGTCCTGTTGAAGTCCATCAAGACCCATCTTCATTGAAGGAGCAATTAAAGCTCCTTCTGTTGGCTTCCCCATAAGACTGTTATTTCTTATTACAGCATCATTGCATATAGAGCCAGCCTCTACATTTCTGCTAACAGATGGGTTATAGAATCCATGAACAACATCACCATCGACAATCACTTCCCCAAATGGATTATAGCCAACTCCAGTAACCTCAGCATGCTGGCCATCTGAAGTAAATATGTGAGTTACAGTCATTTCATTCCTCATCAGTGTTCCAGTTTTATCTGAACAAATCACATTATAGCAGCCCAGAGTCTCCACTATAGGCAGTTTTTTCACAATGGCCCTTTTCTTCACCATTCTCACAACTCCAAGGGCAAGAGTCACGGTGACCACAATTGGAAGACCTTCAGGAATTGCTGCTACAGCCAAACTTACACTGATAGTAAACATTTCCAGGATATCTTTTCCTAGTAACCAGCCAACTAACAATGACTGAGTGACTGAGATTTATTAATAAAGCTTTAAGACATACTGGAGCAGATAATAATTTAAATAAATAAAATTCTCTTATCAGTTACTCGGTATTAGATAGCATTATATACTATTCTATACTGCCCCTGTCTTAAAATTAGTAGATGACTACAAAAATCTTCTAAAATGAAATATGAAGGCTGGAGAAATAGTGTAGGTTTCAGATTCAGGACTTGCATGTGGTGATAGCAGTTTGATTCTCAGTACCATATAGTTAATGCAATATTTCTGGTCTGTGCACTACATGTGTACTACACCCACCCCCAAATATCAGATTAAACATGAATTACTATATTTAAGTACCTCTTTATTTAAAAATAAAATCCATGGTTTGGAACTTGTTTAGAACTTGTTAGTTTAAATGCCATGATTCCTAACTGCATGTGCTCATTTGTATAAAGGGTTAGCAAAAACATAATTAGCAATGCATACATGGGAACTGGGATCAGGATCAAGTAGTAAAGCACATGCCTATTATGTGTAAGGTCCTGATACCATATGGTCCCTTAAACTGCTGGACACAGTCCTGGAGGACATTGAGCAGTTTTTTGTTGTTGCTGTTTCTATTATTGTTATTTTATTGAATCACTGTGTAAGACACATACACAGTACCAAAGCTATTCATGGTTGAGTTTCAGTCATACAGGGTTCCATCACCCTTTCTTCCACTAGTGTACATTTCCCACCACCATGTCACCAGTTTGAACTGGGGATGAATTGGGTATCTCCAGAGTGTCTCCATAAGTCCACCAAAGCAATACCTATCTTTTTTTTTTCAGTTTATTTGTTATGGGTTGTTGGTGGTGGTAGTAGTGGTAGTGATTTTCTTTTCTTTTTTTCTTTTTTGTGGTGACTTGGGTGATTGTGGTTGGGTTGGGTGAGTTGTTGGGGTAGAGCACTTATCTCTTCTATTCATATTCAGTTGTTTTTAAATTACTAGATCAGCAGAGAACAAATAATTTCCTAATATTTTGTATTTAAGGCAACTCTGTCAGATCAAAATATTGTTTACTTTCAATAAGAGAATTATTTTGCCTAACATATATAATTTATACTTTCACAGCTATTTATTTATTCAGCTTATTTGCTTAAACTTTATCCCCTGCCTTGACTTAAGAAATGGTGATATAACTATAAATGATTCAAAGCATTCAGCCTCATTATGCTTGTATTTTTGTGGAAGTTGACAATTAATGAAAACAATTAAAAATCTAAGAAAATAATGTAAAATATGAATACACATAGAATTAGTAATAAATCAAAAGAAATAAGTCAAAAATAAGATTTTAGGCAATCTAATCAGAATTTTTTAAAAATATCTCTCGAAAGATATGCTTTGGGGTTGAAAATTGAATAAACAAAGAAAACAAAAGGCAAGGTATTCAGTATGCAAAAAAGAGAAAATCCAAGGGGTAGCAAAATGAAGTGATTTGCAGTATTTCAGGAAGAGCAAGAACCATTACTTAGTGAAGAGTTTTGATCCTATTTGGAGTATTTAGTAATATTGAGGTATTTGGATACTCTGGTTACGAGGCATAGTTTAAAGGCACTGTAACTATAAAGTAATAAAAAGGTAAAGGTAAAGGCCCTCCCGTTGATCGTCGATTTGCTCGAGCGGGCCCAGTAACGGCTCCATTGGAGACTTTGTTGTTACTGTGTCTGGCATATCGAATACTCTCGGTAGCTTGCCGGGCTCTCCGAGAGGGGCAGAGGAATCGAACTCGGGTCAGCCATGTTGGCCGCTTGTAAGGCGAACACCCTACCCGCTGTGCTATCGCTCCAGCCCAAAGTAATAATCAAAGTAATAATCAATTCCTTAAAATGAATTAAAACTTCTTCTTTGAAATAAAAGGGCGTTGTATGTCTGACAGGGACTTACTTATCCAGGAACAATGAGATATGTGTCTTTTTTATGGAAAAATTTTATTTCCCTTAGGGAAAGGAGAGTACAAAAAGAGAAAACACATTAAGAAGTAAGAGACCCGAGTCATTCCATAAACAGACTCAGAAAATAACTTTTATTTTAACTGAAAGCTAAAGGCAAAATAGTCAGTAGCTATTGAAGTAACAGAATTTGGCATCACTGTCACTGTCCTCCCGGTGTTCATCGATTTGCTCAAGCGGGTCCAGTAACGTCTCCATCGTGAGACTTGTTGTTACTGTGTTTGGCACATCGAATAAGTCACGGGGAGCTTGCCAGGCTTTGCCATGCAGGCACGATTGTGTGTGGTATGCCTCATATCATTCACTTTCCATTGACAAAAGCAAAAATAAAGTGGTCTAGTCTGTGCCAACAAAGTGAGGTTATATATTGTCACACAAGGAAACATTAAAATCACACAGTTACAAATGGGTATATATGCATTGTGACAGGAGAGCAAATAATAGAAAGCAATGATATAATCTATCACACTTAGTAACTTTTTCTGATCTTTTTTAAAGCAATTTATTAAATACTTCTGATAGAAGTCATTAATCCATCAATTAAAGGCTACTTGTTGATTGCACATTTCTTATCTAAAGACAAAGAATTCTGCCCAACCTTAAGAGGCAAATAGCAAACCTAGACACATTGATGCAAAACTAAATTCAACCTTAATTCCAATAGATCAAATAATAATCAAATATCAAATATCTCTAGACTACTTCATCAAATATTATTTAGCACATAATAAGGCACCTAAGTAGTAAATAATATTTGTTGGATGACTGAATGAGATTACTCATGAATGAAATTAATATTAGAAAGCCCTATCAGGCTCATCACTAATGTTAGATCCCAACTTAAAGGTAAAGGTAAAGGCCCTCCCGTTGATCGTCGATTTGCTCGAGCGGGCCCAGTAACGTCTCCATTGGAGACTTTGTTGTTACTGTGTCTGGCATATCGAATACTCTCGGTAGCTTGCCGGGCTCTCCGAGAGGGGCGGAGGAATCGAACTCGGGTCGGCCATGTTGGCCGCTTGTAAGGCGAACGCCCTACCCGCTGTGCTATCGCTCCGGCATTATTATGAATGACTTAAAAGAAAATATGTATTTCCTTTGTCAAATGAAGACCTAGATTAATTTTCAGTCTGTCAAATTTTATATTTTAGAAAGTATTACAGAAAAAATATTAGCACAGATATGAACCATTCTGATAAACTTCTAATGGAGTGAAACTAACTCGTACCTTTTGTACTCTTCAAGTAGTAAGAAGTAGTTCAGAAATAATTAAATGGATAAAATCAAGTACCATCTTTTGACTTGCATAGTTACATGGGATTCAGAGGAATTAATCAAAAAAAATTTTTAATGATCCACAATCCCAATGTGCTAAGTCTTCAATTCCCATCTCTAAATTTGATCTACCTGATATCAAGAAGAATTTGCTCACTCATGTATTTGTTAAGTTATAAAATAAGTATTAAATATTTCCTGTCTAGCTTTAAGGCTAAATATGATATTCCAAAATATTGTTTTGTTTTTATTTTTAAAGGATAAATACTTTGAAAACATTTAGGAGGAAAGTAGAGGTCTGATTAATCTATAAAAATTGTAATAGTAACAACTTTAACTAAACTGAATGAATTAAAATTGACACGTTTGTTTTATATTTTGAATAGGGTAGTTACACAAAAGTACGAACACTTGATTGTTTTTGTTTTTTTTTCAAGCTCCTGGTGCCATTTCAACCTCTAAGAAAAATGTGTTTCTACATGACCATAATAACAATAGTAAAAACCAGCAAAGTGAACTGGAAAACTAAAAAACCTTTAAATCTGTTTGAGTTTAAAGTGTAGAAGGGGGGTATGGTGCCACCAGCAGGTCAATATGTACCTGTGAGGCAAGTGCATCAGCAGCCTGATGGCACCGTCAGACTTTCAGATACCCCTAAATTACTGCTGTGCCTTTGGCCAGACCCCAAAAACTTGGGGCAAAGTTTACCAAGAAAGTAAACAACCAAAAGTTAGGTATGTGGGAGACACACCCACAAACCACCTCTGGCTCAGCTATATAATTGGAGGCATGTTGCCTCTCTGGTTCCTGATCGAACTGCTTAACGACCATGATCCCAGAGAGTCAGAAATGAATCTTGGAACCCAAAGGCTTTTGGCAGAAATGCATCCCGTTCCTGCAGTAGGTTACTGGCGCTGGGCCACTCCAGGTGAGAATAGGTTTCTTGCCTTGACCTGTTCCCCCTGGCAGACTGGTGATCACCATCCTCCAGAGACCACAGGAAAGTCAGGTTTGGGCCTGCAGTGACAAGATATGTGGAGCCTTTTCTTTCCTCCCATCCCAATGAGACCCCGAGTCACCGCCTACAAACAGCCGCTCTGGTTCCTGATCAAGTTGTTTAATGGCCATGATCCCAGAGACACAGAAACAAATCTCGAATCCCAGCAGCTTTTGGCAGAAATGCATCTGGACCACATACAAGATGGCCACTGCCTCAGAGCTTATTGGAAAGCCAAGTATGAGCCAGCGGTGATGGGGTAACTGCAGTCTCATGGGAAGGGGGATGGTACCAGCTCGTCCTTCACACCCTACCGAGGTCACGAGTTGTCCCCCACGAGTGGCTCTCCAGCACGGCCATGGCTCTAGAGGCAAAAGGACTTAATCCAGAGCCCAGCAGCTTGAAGCAGAAAAGAGAATGTACTATGCCTTAAACTATGACACCATGCCTCCCCGGGAGGGAAATGGTGTTGCTCCCTTCTGCCTGCCCCTACCCCCACCCCGCAGCAAGGTGGCCACTGCCTCAGAGCTTATTGGAAAGCCAGGTATGAACTGGTGGTGATGGGGCAACTGCAGTCTCATGGGAATAGGGGCGGTACCGGCTCATCCTTCACACCCTACTGAGGTCACGAGTTGCCCTCCACGAGCAGCTCTCCAGTACAGCCATAACACCAGATGTACAGAAACCAGTCTCGTAATTATCTGGCTCTTTGCAGAAATCCAAAATCATTATATGATTCTCATAATCAGCCATAGA